CCTGATATTTCACTCCTAAATATTTCAATGTGTTTCCTAAGCACAAGAACACAGTTCTGCATAACTCCAATGCCAGGGTCAACCCAATGAAGTTCACATTAAGTCCTTAAGCCCTCCATATATTCCATAATCAAGTTCTCCCTTGTTCCAATGTGTTGTTTATAGATTTTGTACAAATCAGGATCAAATCAAGGTGTATGCATTGCGTTTGGTTATTATCTTTCTCTCTTCTTTTCCCATTTTATTAAAATATAATCAGCATGTAAAATTGCATATGTGTAAGATAATACAACACAGTTTGACACATGAATGTGTTGTAGAAAGATTACTTGTTCTATCTTTAATTTCCTTTTAAGGTAGAACAGTAACTCCCCTAAATTCTTCTAAAACAATGGTGTTGACTGTATTGATAAGTCCAAGCCAATTGTCTTGCGAACATGCCAGAATGCTTATGTTATGTTTTTCCCATTGCGTCATATCAGGAGGTCAGGAGGCGATCTCAGATCTCAGATCGCCTCCTCACTGTTGGTGATTCTGAGTTTGATCAGGGCCACTGAAGAATTTCATGGACCTTTGACACTTTACCTTCAGGACATCCTTTCTCCATAAGAAATATGAAGAATTATATTTTATGGTTCTATTGGTATGACAAATATAATCCACAGTGGATTAAATTCACTTTTTTTCTTCTAACTTTAAAAGAAATTAAAGCATTTTCCCCTAAAAGTATCAAGGGCCCCAGATCTTGGTCCTGCTCTGATGGATAAGTTGGCCCTGAGCTTGGCCTCTTGATTGAAGGGTGACCTCTAGATCTCCCCCAAAATAAAGGTATATTATCCCTTTTGCAAGTAGATAGTAATCTGCAGGGAGACTGTGAGGCTAGATGAATATCCTGTTCCCTTGAAACCTCACTGTCAATGGTTTTATCATCTTTTCCTGAGTCAGTTACCACATAGAAGACCAATGGAATTATCTCTTGCCCAGGGATGAGAATACTAAAGGGCAAAGAGTCTGTGATTTGCCTGAGACCATCAAGCTTGTTGTTCTGCTTATCCTTAACAGTTAGATTTCTCTGTTCCCAAGTTCATGTTAGAGCTCCGAGAAACTGGACTATATTAGGAAAGCATGAAAAAGAGCATGGGAGTTAGTGAGCTTAGAGAGGAGACCAGAAGGGGTAGCTGTAATCTCTTTCATACTTAAAGATAATGTTGGACAGGCACCAAGCACCAGCAAGTTCTCCATTTGCAGGGCAATAGCTCAAAGGAAGATAAGATTCCATTGCTCTTGATTATAGCCATTTTACAAGCCAGCTAATAATTGGCTTACATTTCTTTAGAAAAGTTCTTGGTTCTATTCTCAGGAGAAAATAAAGCCAATGTTTAATAGTCTTGTTGAATCTTATTAGGTTTTAGGATTCTCATTTAAATGCAGACAATGTATCAATTACCCTAGAGACAATTTAGTTAATTTTATTCTCCCTCTACCTCCATCCACTGCATGTAGTCTACACTAGGGTTATAATGGATGCTTAAAAATATTGTTCACCAGTTCCTATTGACTTCAGTAGGTGAAAGGACATATAAGGGCTGAAATTCAGGGCCCTTAAATAAGCAAACTGCCCATATTTGAAATAAGGACACAGCTTTCTATAGGCAAAGGTTTCCATTCCAGGTGTATGAGCCAGTTACTTGTATTTGCCAAGAATCTCCTTGACACATGAATCTTGTTGCAGAGAACGTTTTTGATCTTTCCAGTGTTTGCAGAAGAAAAAATCAAGTACAGGTGTTTTCAGAAATTGGACATGATAATCTTGAGCCCTGGGTTTTTCAGAAGAGTAAATTTGGAAGAATTATTCTTACTAAATATGTAAGCTAAAATTTGAAGTGTGCAATTCAGATGAATGGAGACTGGCATTGGGTATGAAGGAAGTTGGGACACAAGAAAGAGAATTGAGAAACGGGACAGAGACTAGTCTATCTCTTGAGTACAGTTGACAGCTCTTTCTGAGGTTAGCAAATAAGGGGTTAAGTCCCAGAATTAATCTAATGATAACTTTGAATGACCATTATCTGTCTAATGGCTCTAGATAAGGATCTTTTGTTGGGAAAGAGACCCAATGGGGGGGGGGGGGGGAAGGGGAGATCTATAAGGTTACAGCAGGAGATTGCTTACACATTCAAAAGTTCACAGCCTCGAGCCAATGACCCTCTGCAGGCCTCAGCACCAGTCATAGCTTCTCTTCTGCGGCCTTGTGCTTCCTCTTTCTCTCAATCTCCCTACTCTGTTTCTTCCTCTTCCACATAGTGAAAATATGGCTGCCCTGATCCACTCCCCAATATCAGAATCTTCTATTTCTAGCATCTTTCAGTGACCAACTATATCCTGTATATATGCCCTCTATATCCTCTATAAAGAGAGACTCCTTGGTAAGTGGTTAAGTAGTTCATTGGCTTAGAGGAGTATCACCCCAGTCCCACTAGCCATCACTCCTGAACAAAAACCATTCAGTGGTGGTACCCTGCCTGGGAGCTCCAGAAGAGGAGGTAGAAGCAGTAGTTGTCCAGGGAGTGCTTGCTATGGTCTGCGTGCACATTTGGGAAATTCCTGGTCTGTTTCTTTACCTCAAGGGAGGGTTTACCCCAAAGTTTTCTCCTGAAAGAGCATCTATAGAATGAGGACAATAGCACCTACCGAGTGGAATCATGTAGAACATGAATGAGATGCTATGCTCTGAGTGGCATAAGGCAAGCACTTAGTATGTGGGATTTCTTCCATCCTTTGATGTCTCATGAATATTACACAACTGAAAATTGTTTGCTGTGTGTGTTCACTGATTTTTTAATTGCAAAGTGATCTGTTAATATATCTGAGTAATTTGCAGCAAATCCTAGACTTTATACTATTTCCTAGACATTAAATTATTTTAAGGTATGCTTTTTTAATTTAAATTATTTTAATGCAATTTATCAAAGTAAATGCAGTAAATTAAAAATGTACCTTTAATTAAAGGTGCAAATTCCTTGCCTACATTTAAACTAGGACTAAAAATATTCGACATGACTAGTTTCTAGAGAAAGTGCCAGAAGGAGATAGAACGGCCTTTGAAATGTTTATGGTTTTTGTAATTGTTCAAAATAAACTAAGACAAATTGTGAATGGAAAAGCAAGTACACTGAAGCAAGACTGTGGTGGTCTGGGATACCCTGTCTGAGTTGGGAACAGAGATCTAGATAAAGAAAACAGACCACCAGCAATAAAAATAATTGCCTCTAAAGCTCTTTGGAGAATGTGACATAGGCCCAGAGCAGACTCTCAGCTACCCTAGGCTCAGTGTGTTGTTCCTGGTAGGCAGGGACAGCCAGGGGATGGGAGTTGCTCTGAGTCCAGTCCACACAGGTCTTTCCCCCAGACTTGCTACTTAATAACTCACTGCCCCTTCCCTGGAGAGGAGAAGAGAGTGATCTGAGGGGCTAGGGTGCAGCCACGAGTGGCAACTCAATGGCAGTTTCATTGGCATAGAAGTCAGTGCTCCCAGTTCTCTGACATCGCGGCTGGGCCAGCATGTGGTAGGCAGAACGCAGCTTCAACACAGCACGTCCTGCAGCGAGCCCATCAACTTTGCCGGTCCCAACTCCTGTCAGTGGCCACACCGCTGCTCATGTTCCACTGAACAAAGCTTTATAGAATGTGTGTGCATCACAGCGCTGCCCCTCCCAGGCTGTAAGCCCAGGGCCTCTCAAAGGGGCACACGCACAGATGGGTGTGCAGCCCACTCTGCTAGCCATCGTGGGGTGAGTCCTGCAGACGCAGAGATGCCTTGTTCGGGCTTCCTTTGAAAGAGACTCAGTGTCCAACTGTGGGGACTGTGCTGAGCTGAAGCCTCAGCAGACAGCTCCTTCAGGGTCCACCTCACCTTCCCACATCTGGTCATCCTCTCTTGGGCCATGCCTGCCCACGGCCTGGGCCAAGTCATCATTGAGGTCATACTCTCTTTGGGTGGTTCCAGCCCACGACTAACCAAGTGGACGATACAAGGGCCTAGTTTGCTCCCAAGCTTCCCTCAGGGCTGGTGTAGTGTAACCAGCTCTCTGTTTGTGGGGCCTGCAAGATGTCCCAGGACAGGGAACTTTCGGTGCTAAAACTGAAACTGCCAGGCAAAGCAAGCCAATGACTATCTAGGCCTCTCATGCTTTGCCAGGCCAAGCAAGCTGGTTGCTTACTTTCGCTGCTGTGGGCCTCTGGGGTCTGTGTGTGGGCCTCGTAGCTCCCTCCGCCAACCCGGCTTCCTCCTCTTTTTCCTTTGCCCGGTATTACTTCCCACTAAACCTTTGGTCCTTCTGACTTCATCCCAGGGCCTGTTTCTCAGAGTTCTCTGCCGGGGACAGGGCCACACGTAACACAGAAACCAGAAAGCTCTAAATCCTGCAAGAGAGGAGGAACAGAAACAGACTACGAGGGTGGGGAAGATTAATCAGACAGTTGAGGGGATGCCCCCTCCGGTGTGTAACTTTTTCAGCAGGCATGCCCTCTGAAGTGTTGCTCTTAGAGAAGAGGCGTGCGTAAATACCCATGACTTAAGATTCCTAACCTTACCTGTACTTGAATACGTAAAATGAAGACTTTGCCTGCCCAAAAGCCAGTCTCTTAGTCCCCGTTGTCCATCTTTAATCATGCTTTGTCATGAATTTCTATGATCTAAGCTGCAGCTTTCCTAAGAAGTATCCTTAAAGGCAAGAGAGCATGTGGGTAGGAGGTAACTGTCAGAGAGTGAGAAAGACAAGCTTCGTGCCAGGACTAGAATAAGCAGGTACTGGGGTGGCCCCCTGTGGGCTTTCACAGTCTGGGCTGGGTGAGGTCAGAGTCAGCACTTGCTGACAGTGAGCATTGCCTTTCCCACAGCATGCAGGGGCATGGCTTCCTCAGTGTGGTCCATGGGGTAGGCTGGAATCCATAACAATGGCAGGCATCTCACAAAGAATGCACCCTCCTTCCTGTCACAGGTACAAAGCCATCGTCAGGCCAATGGATATCCAGGCCTCCCATGCTCTGATGAAGATCTGCCTCAAGGCAGCCCTAATCTGGGTCATCTCCATGCTGCTGGCCATCCCCGAAGCAGTGTTCTCTGACCTACATCCTTTCCACGAGGAGAGCACCAACAAGACCTTCATTAGCTGTGCCCCGTACCCACACTCCAATGATCTGCACCCCAGAATCCACTCCATGGCTTCCTTCCTGGTCTTCTACATCATCCCATTGTCAATCATCTCTGTCTACTACTACTTTATTGCCAAAAATTTGATCCAGAGCGCTTACAATCTGCCTGTGGAAGGGAATATCCACGTCAAGAAGCAGGTAGGTGCTTGGGATTGACTCATTTATTCCTTGGGGAGCTGACCCCTTGCATTTCTCTTGAACCAAGCACAGTATGTGGGTGATCACACCACCCAATTCTGCAACTAGAGGATTGGATGATCTGTAGCCATATGGCAAATGAAAGCTGGCAGCCGCAGAAGCTCAGGAATTCTAGTGGTCTTTTTTTTTTTTTTTTTTTAAGATTTATTTATTTTTGCACGCAAAAACTAAAATACAGGCCAGAGGCACAGGGGGTGGGGGGTCTAAGAGGATGTACCAGAGACAGAGTGGGGAGCAAAAGAGGCAGATTGACTGAAATCCACTGATGAGGGGAGCAGAATAGGTGAGACAGGAGAGATTTGTGTGCCCTGTGAGTCACTCCCTGGTCGGGATTGAACTCATGCTGCAGATAACTTCATAGTGAAGAGACTTAACCCCTTGCACCACCAGGGCACCCCCAGGTGTTCTTTGTAATCTTGTTTTCTTATTGAACACCTAAGCAAGGGACAGCTTAAGAATCTGAGATTTGAAGTATGGATTTCTTTTGCAGAAATCGCTGGGAAATTATTGTTGGTGTTTAAAAACTAAAATATTGAGGCTCATAGGGGCATGATTTCTTTAAACCCCAATCACATGTTGGATGTGGGAAGAAGGTCACCACGTGGGGACAACACAGGGGTAGGAAGATGAGGCCAGCAGAAGAAAAAGAAGTCATTTGTGGCCCTCCCTGGTGGTGCAGCGGTTAAAGCACAGCACTAAGAAGCTAAAGCCACTTCCGCATGAGTTCGATTCCCGCCTGCCCTGGAGGTGACCACATGGCATGGCAGACCTCTCCTGGCCTGCCTGCTGCTCCCCTCAGCAGTGTACTTCGTCGATCTGCCTGTTCTGCTCCCCGCTCTGTCTCTGGTGAAGCCTCTCACCGCCCCTGAGCCTCTGGCCTGTACCCCAGTTCTGTATGCACAAAATAAATAAATAAATCTTAAAAAAAGAAGAAGAAGTCATTTGCTCATGTTGATTTGAGCCTGATGACTTACCCTCTCTGGGCTTCCGTTCTCACAGGCAGGACATTAGTAGCCTCCGTGCTGGGAGGCTCTTGGAAAATTATGAGAGCACGTGTGCCCGGCAGTGCCAAAGCACAAGATGCCCTCCACATGTCCCACTCCCTCCCATAGTTGCCGCTGGGACCTCCATCATCTAGTCCTTGAGTAGGAGCAATAGGAACCAGGGTATGAAGAGCTTCCCCCTTTCAAGGGCATTTTTGGGGGGGGGGCTTCTGACTCAGTTGTGGGGAGAGAATGGTCTTTCTCAATGAAACGGCCTCCCTACTCACAAAAGTGAACATCGATGGGCCCCGGGTTCCTTCACAAGAAAGATGTCATCCTACCATACGTAGCCTAGGGAATTGGGAGCACAAGTTGGTATTCAGCCCCCTTGGCCCACAACCCTTCCCATAGAGTCAAGTCCAGAAAGAACTTGCCAGTAAACGAAAACAAGAGAGAGAACAAACCTGGCGGCTTTTTGAGCATCAGAGGGAGTCAGAAAGACTTGTAGGCACGTGGCTGCTAAGCTGCACCTATGCTCTCCTGGGCAGAAAGAGGCCCAGGCAGGAGTTCCGTCTGCCATCCAGTCAGGAACATAATGAACACTGCGCGCCGCTCTCAGTGGTGTGCTCTGACTGTGGTTTACCTTGTGGTCTCCCGGGCTTTTCCGTGTTTATGTTCCTCACCTTTTCCCCTTTTTTTCTGTTCTGCTACATTTCTCTCACTTCTCTGTTCCTCTTGTCCTCCTACTGAGCTTTCCTGTAACCTTCTGAACTTACCTATTTACCCAATTCTTGCCTCCCATCTTTTCTCTGTTTTTGAATGTTTTTCTCTGCGTTCCTCCCACCCTACCCCTCGGTTCCTGTCTTTCTGGGTGACTCCTTAGATCGAATCCCGGAAGCGACTTGCCAAGACCGTGCTGGTGTTCGTAGGCCTTTTCGCCGTGTGCTGGCTCCCTAACCACATCATCTACCTGTACCGCTCTTACCACTACTCTGAGGTGGACACCTCCATGCTCCACTTCGTCACCAGCATCTGCGCCCGCCTCCTGGCCTTCACCAACTCCTGTGTGAACCCGTTTGCCCTCTATCTGCTGAGCAAGAGTTTCAGGAAACAGTTCAACAGCCAGCTCCTCTGCTGCCGGCCCGGCCTGCTGAGCCGGTCTCATGGTACCATCAGAAGCACCACCTGCATGACGTCCTTCAAGACGACCAACCCCTCTGTGGCCACCTTCAGCCTCATCAACGGCAACATCTGTCATGAGGGCTTTGTCTAGACCCCTTGAGCCTGACCCACTGGGACCCCTGGCTTCGCTTTATGGCTGCTGAAGAACCCTCACATATGTCATCTCTGTACCCTCCCAAGACCGTCAGAAGGCTCGTGAGTGCTGTGAGCACGTTGAGGAGGCCCATATGGGTCGCTATTATTGTGAAATGCCCAACAAGCTTTACTTTTTCCTTTTCAACTTGTGAATAGAGTGAACATTCCTTTATACAAAAGAGACCAAATAGAAAATCATGGTTTTAAGCAGCAAACTGCAATGTATAGGTGTGGCCAATTAAATCATAGCAATGCTGTCTCACAGAGAAATTATACACTTGCGGTCCACTTGGTGAAAGCTTTCACCTGGTCATTTCCTAAAGCAGAAGCTAGTGCTTTCAGAATGTGATTGGAGTCATTGTTCAGTAATACTTCTCGTCAGAGTTCAAGGAACAACTTTTATTCACACATGGAACCTGAAAAGTCAACCCTTTGAAAGCATCCCAGTCAGGAAAGATAGCCCTAAACTGACAACACTGGAGCCCCATTTAAAACAAATTCCTGAGGGTTGACTTTTTAAAGATTTTCCAGAGGCCTTAGGAGAAATTGGCAATTCTAACTCAAAACCACAACTAAACACGTAGGCAAGCCAGGAGTGGCTGTCTACTCTGAACAATAACTCGATGAAAAATTCTGGACTTGAATGTTTCCTTTTGCCAAGTAAAAGAATTTGACTGTCTTGCTTTTAGCAGACCTGACGCCAGCACATGCCAATTCTGACAGACAATGAACGTGTTACCCACTTTCAGAGAAGCGCAAATTCTGCAAATGTGCCTCGTGTGTATCTGTGCACCCCAAGACAATTGCAGCTGTGGTTTTCTCCACCAAGAGGTGGCAGAAAGCTCAGCTCTCTTTTGCACACATCGTGTTATGCGATTTTTACCTCTTGACGGGAGGACCTGCTCATGGCTGCAGAGCTTTGGAAGCCAGGAGCAGATGGGGGACAGATCTGTGTTTACAGCCAAGTTGGCTGGAGGGCAACCTCGTCACTGCTGCCAGTGCACGCACTTGGGTGCATGCACACTGCTTGTGTGTTGGTCCCCTAGTTCCATGGACAGTGTGTAGAGCAAGGTACATGGAGGGACTGACAGAAGCAAGATTTTTAGCTTGACACCCCACTGCTGTCTCCAACTATGTGACCTTGGCTCTCAGTTGCACTTCCCTAGCCTCATTTTCTTACCTCTAAATTGAGAGGACGATGGGAAGGACCCTGCTATTGCCAACATCCCCTGAGTCTCTCATAGCTACTGGTCCTGTCTCTCCAGCATGTGTGCGCCCTGCCCTCATGATGCCCCTGGGGCGCTAGGAGCCCTTAGCCCACAGCTGCTATCTCTGCCATACTCCTCTTCAGATACCCCACCCCCTACATGCACATCACCTTCAGTTGTCTGGAAGGACATGGGCCATCCTGTCACTTCGAGAGGCTCCTTGGAATCATTTGTATGACTGACACCCTATTTGTTTGTTGTGCTTTGAAACACACCTAAGAAAATATCCCCACCCCCGTCACCTCATGATGCCCTTCCTCAACCTTCGTGAGCCTGTTCCCTTCAACATCTGCTCCACTGTGTCACCCTTAGATTTCTTCACAACTCCAGGCCTAGTTAGTTGCTACAGAGTATGGTGTTATTAGCACCTAGCACGACCCATTCAAGTACCTCTGACTCCCTGCTTCCAGAGACATTTGGGAGGTAGGACTCACCTTAATGGCAGCACAGTGGATAGATTATGTCTACTCTCGGTCATGGCTTCTGGACAAATTGTGAGAAGACTGACATCTAGGCCTAGCTGTGCATCCTTAGATCAAGCTTATCATCTCTTTGACACTCCTAAATGAACAGTCCAGAGGAGGTCTTTGGCAGTCAGTGACCTGGAATTGGTAAATCCACTGACTGACTCAAAACTCGCTGGGATGAACTGAATTGGGCCCTTCTCTAGGGAAGTTTTATTTTTTCCCCACCTCAAAAACCTAAAATCACTTGGGTGAGAGAGACCCGAGTCCCCACGTGATGTCACCTCTCCATTAGGCCCAAGTGTGGCAGGGGGCCGGAGTGCAGACATTTCACGCCTGGCTTCCAAAGGTAATCATGTTTAGTGCTTATGTCTTTGGTGAGGGAAAAAAAAATCAATTTTTGCTATGGAAAGCCATCTGTGTTTATTCAATTGACAGACACTACCTTTCAATCTATCTTAAATTGAGCCTCCCCGAGGCAGGCAGCTCAACAGTGATAGATTAAGCAATAAACAAAGCACTCTTTCCACCAACGGCTGCCACTGGCAGGGAGTGATGTTCCACAGCGAGATGATCCTCCTAGCATGGTGCCTACAAGGCCTCTGCCTCTGGTTGATCTGATGATTCCCAAAAAATATGGATGGCTCAACCCTGATCTTCTGGCCGCTCTCACTCCCCCACAGAACCTGACCTTTCTTTTTTTTAGGATTTATTGTGCACACAGAACTGGGGTACAGGCCAGAGGTGCAGGGGTGGTGAGAGGATTCACCAGAGACAGAGTGGGGAGCAGAACAGGCAGATGGATGGAGTACACTGCTGAGAGGAGCAGCAGGCGGGTCAGGAAAGACCTGCCGCACCATGTGGGTCACCTCTGGGGCAGGGATTGAAATCAAGTTGAAGTGGCTTTATCTTCTTAGTGCTATGCTTTAACCCGCTGAGCCACCAGGGAGGGCCCAGAACCTGACCTTTTGCTTCATACCAAGCCCTGGGTTTCTCTTTACCCCAAAGCAATTCGGTTTCATCTGGAAAGATGGACAACCTTAGGTAAATAAACAGTTTAGAGTCTGCTTCACTTGAACCAAACTCAGCTAGTGATGAAAATACACACTGAACAGAAATGGATAAACTCGTCCATGGGACATGTGCACACTTACGTAATGATGTCTTCAATATGCCCAAAGCGGCAGTTGGTAATCCGACTTTGTACTCTATTCATGCACCAAGTGGCTTTCAGTAAGAGGCATCACTTTTGTTTGGGGACTACAAGTTCAGTGACATCTTCAATCTCTATACTCAATGATGGCTAAGTCACTTTTCCCAGAAGCCAAATTAGAAATCCGCATCCTGGGAACCTGACTGAGTTGCCCAAAGGGCACTGGGGTGAGCTGGGAGGGAGGCAAGCTTACTTGCCACCTGTGCACGTCACACTCACAGCAGGAAGCAGCCGTTGTCAGGGGGCAACTAGGACTCACTCTGGATTGCTGGGAGAAACCGGAACATTTTCACCTTTTTCTAATTTTTCAGTGAATTTTCATCAAATGGATTAACAGCTGAAATCAAAGGAATTCTTCACCTTTCTGGGCCCAGGCTTTGTGTCATCTCTGCAGTGAAACCAAGCCTTAATAAGACCTACTTTATTCTCTATCTGGAGCATCATTCCTCAGCACCCACATCGGCCCCCAGCCCCCAAACTCAACACAAACAAGACTCTAATGTCCTACCATAACCTTGGCCTTGACTGATGCCCTTGTTTATGTGAGGGCTGAGCATGAACTCTAGCTGGACATATCCAGAGCAGTCAACAAGTACCATGCTGAAGACACTTTCTCTCGTGAGACTTCCCTTTAGAACTGCATTTAGTGGAATTGATCTTTTTTGTTTTTAAGGTTTCCACTGTTGCACACATAAATTTAAGAGCCCTGGTTTAAAATATTGCATGTTCATGATTAATTTCAGAACATACTTTGCATGCTCTGAGTGTTCATGGCCTATAAAGCACTTGTAAATTCATCTGATCCAACCCTTCCCTGCTGGCCTGAAAGCCGCCTTACCATGGACATTTGCAAATGTCAGCTTCATTTACTAGTGACCAGCTCCCGTTCAATTAAAGGGCCCAGGGACTCTGAGGCTGACACAGAGGAAACTGCCCACACTGGGCCAGGCTTGACCTATAAAGGGGATTTTGAGTGGTTCAACTTAATGTGACTTCCTCGATACTCCTGGCCTGTTCCGTGATACTGAATGGGAGAGCTGATCACTGGTCCCCCAGTTTGCAGCGTAGTCTGTCGCCCCCAATGTCAGTCTGTTTAACCTGGCATGAGGACATGAAAGGGTCCTTGTTGGTTGGCCTGGGGGAGGCCCGTCGGCAGGAACACAGCATAAAGCAAGGCCCAGATGAGAGAGGCCCGCTCCCCACACAGCATGCTTGTCTGAAACATGAAAGGAGTCAGTGACTCTGGAAGTGTTGGCAAGGAAGCAATTCACTTCACCAAGTCCCAGTGACAGCCAGAGGCAGTACTGAGCACATCTCTGGACATCGATGTGGGCACGGGAGAAATACTCAGAGGCCGTAGCTGAGGCTCAGGAAGATTATGTCCCCATCCCAAGGCCACAGGGCACCACTGAAAGGCAGAGTGTGGGCCTGGACGCTGAGTCCACACTCGTTCCAGCACTCGGCATAGCTTCCCGAAGACAGCCCGGGTGAGAAATCAAGTTTAAGGTGCTAACAGTATATTCCTGATGCTAGATTTTCTCCGAAGGCCGGAACTAGTGGTAGGGCCAAAGGGCAAACACAGAGTGGGCTGGCAGGGAAATCCCTTGGTTCAGTTGCCCCCAGAGATTCAACACATTTGCAACTTGGTGCCCTGGAAAGAGTTCTAGCAGAGGATGGTTTCCCAGTGCCTGGAGAAGGAAGACATGAATACACATGTAGCCATGAATAGAGAAGTAGCTCCCCAACTGTGGGGCCAGGTAATGAGCTCAGGAATGGACTTACACCACCAACTCGCTACCCTTATGTTTCTAGAACATAGGATTATTCCCCCCAAATTTAAATTTTAAAATTCATTCCCAGAGTCATAGAATGACACAGAATGACTCACCTAATTTTATGATCTTTTCAAAGGATCATTTAATGGACGTGAAACCTCACACCTTCAACACCTCATTAATTCCCGGACAAGTTTGAAACTCAGGACTTTAGTGTTCAAAAAACATTAGGTAATTTGGGCCTGTTGTGAATCTGAAATTTTTCATCATTTTGCTTCAATTTTAGCTATTGAAATGGATTTAATGATATTGATAATGCACAACATAAAGAAAGTAAAACTGATTTTCTTTAAAGATCTCTCTAATCTGGGCATAACTAATTCAGACAGGACCTTTGTTGTATCCAAGTCGGCAGGGAAAATTTGTTGAAACAGTGAGCTCACTGAGATGTAAAAATACATGGCACTAACTCCTTTAATGTCATTTTCTGTTTTGTTTTAAATAGTAGACTCGCAGTTTATAAATTATTATTGTACTTGTTGCTATTAACTGTAAATATTTATTGCATTAAAAATGTGCTCTGTGTTAAATAACTCAGAACAAGTTCCAGGTGTGGTACTTAGTATAAATAATGTCATGGCTTGGCTTTGCCTAGCCTGCTTAGACTGATGAATTATTTATAAGAAATTCACAATATTAATGTGAGCGATTCAGATCCTTTCAAATTGCAAACTTAACTGTGTGACCGTGTAAAATTCTATCAATGAGGTGTGTTTGCTGATTGTCTTCTTTTCAAGAAATGTTCCAAGGGCTTCGATCACATTATACATGGTCTATATGACTTTATGTCAAATCCAGTGTACTAAGCGGAATGTTCAAGTCATGGAGGCTAAGAGGTGTGTCTTACGTCTTAATATAATAAAGTATAATTTATGAAGTAGACAGATGCCTCTATTTTATGTTCAATAAAAATACAGCTGTTGGTTTCACTTATATGTGGAATATAGAAAAACCAAAGGGTGAGAGACAAACCTTGAAAGCTAAGCATAGGCAGGAGGCACGCAGGGGGCAGGCGGGAGGGGGTGTGTGAAAACTGCGGCTTGGGGGGTAAGGGTACAATGGGCTATGGTGGAGGATTAATAGTGCTTTGGTGGTGGGAGAACAATGATGACCACACCTGAGGGGGGAAACCCCATATCGCCCCAAAATTAACAAAGATGTAAAAGTACTGCATTTAAACATTTTTTAAAAAGAGAGGAAAAAAAGAAGCCATTATTCAGAGATTTAGGAATGATGCTGATAATTTGAATGACCACAGCATACATGCTATAATTCTTTGAAATTATAATATTCAGTTTGTGGTAGCCTCTAAATCACCGTTGAATGGTTACAAGATACAAATTGAAGAAATTAGAACACACACACACAGCTGTTGGGTGAACAGAGTTTGGAGCCAGCTATCCCCCAGTTCCGCGGTTCCTGGGCCCACCTACACCAACATGGCCCATGCTCCTTGTTGCAAAATGCAGCTTGCTGATGCCTGCTTGATGGAATCTGGGGGTGTGGCCTACAAATCTGCATTTTACTGCAAACACCCTAGGTGAGTCCTCAAAACACCATCGAGTTTTGTTTCATTAAAATTTTAAAATATGCATTCAACTTTTGAATAAGAAAGCCATTCTCCTGGTTGAAAATCAAAACCATAGAAAGGTAGTCAGTGAAAAGTCATAGGCTACCCTGACCCCTGTCCTCAGAGTTCTCAACATCCATCACTCCCCTTCCCCCGCTAGTAGGGGGGTGACCATTGTTAGAAGTTTCTTCTGCATGGAGCTACTGGACATTTTCGTGCATGTGATAGTAACAATGAATGTATGTCTTCCCGCACTCACCGCCATGTGGTAGAAATGGTGGCGCGCCTGCGTTGTTCTGCCTTTGCTTACACACCACATGTCCTGTCTTGGAGATTTTCTATATCATCACATAAGGTCCTTCCTCATTCTTTCTTGTACCTCCCAAGGTATCTATTCAGATCCCCACTGATGCACATTTAGGTTTGCAATATTTTGGCATTCTGAACCATGTTGCAATGAATAGCGTATATAATTTCAATCATGAGGAAGTGTTGCTCTTGAAAAAAATTCTAAATATGGAATTGCAGAAACAAAGAGCATATGCTTTTATAATTTTGACAGTTATTCCAAATTGCTCTCTTGGACACACATTTTGAAAGGCTGTGCATTCTGGAACAACCCTAGGATAGCTGCAAAGAAACGACACAATTGGTTGCAAGCGGGGCCTTTCCAAGCTTCCTGTACCTTTGGAGAGAGGCCCCCAGGCATTCTTACCAGGCAGTCAGCAGACCCCTTGAGTTGCACACCAACAACCACGCCAAGGTGGGGAGGGGGCTGAGTGTGGGGATCATCTTGGGAGTAGATTCTCTGCCCCCCAGATGTCTCACTACTTCCCCTGCTATGCCCCCTACCCCCTTAATGTATGATATGTACAGCCCATGCTCACTACAAATACATGGCACATAAATGTCTGTGCTTTAAAGAACTAAAAAGTGGCAATTCCTAATGGAGCCTGAAGTGAATGCCCTACCCCTACTTTCCCTAGATTGAGTGGGAAGACGGGCAGACTGAAATCTGTGAAACACCAAGGGCATGAAAAGCTGAAGTACCCAGGTCTCAGGATCACTCCACAGAGGAGTGCCTGCCTCTCACAAACTTCAAGGTGAGGACCCTGAGTAAAGACTAACCAAGAACTCAGAACAACGGGACCCAGCCCCCCTCTGCCCCTGCACCTCTGGCACAGTTGTGCTGGATTTAGCCTGCCCTGGCTTCTAATTCTGCAGCCCAGGGAGGTGGTGGGCTCCATCTGAGCATGCAGACAGGTACTCTAGGTGATGAATTCGGGGGAGGAATGAAGGTGCTACCCACACTGAGCACAGGAGGCACTGCTGTGTCCCCCTCCTGGGACCTGGGAGAGCCCAGCAGAATTGTCAAGTTGAGAAATCCTGGGGGGGGGGTGTGGAGGTGGGGGTGGTTATTTATGCATATCTGCCCTCGGGGTCTCCGGGAGAGGAAGACCTTGGTTTAGTGGTGTTGGGCTCCAATTCTGCAGAGAAAGAGACCCAGAATAACAGGAATGGAGGTGTGGACCCAGATATGCCGGACTTCCACCAGCCCAGAGGGTCCCCATTTCCATAGTTCTTTTGGAAATTTGAACTAGTCCTTCTCATTTCTGCCCAGAGGGTGACAGAAGAGAGGTTGGGGTGTAAAGGAAGCACCCATTACTTGGAGGGGGGTGCGAGTTTACGCCCTAATTGGAGGTGAGAAGGGGATCTGTCCAGAGGAGGTCACCCAGAGTCCGGCCCTGCAGTCGGGCCTGGGAGTCCAAGGCGGCTGTGTCGGAGGTGGTACGCCCACTTTCCCAGGCACGCGGGCATGTGTGAGGTGGGCGGACGCGAGTCAGTAAAAGGAGGCGGACTGGGCGCAGATTGGCATCGCCGGGATGCCGTAGACCCACTCCTGCGAGCCACCGTCGGAAACCCCGCAGCCTTGGTGGTGGGTGGTTCCCTGTGATTTCCTCCTCAGAAGTTTCGGGAAGCTTGGTCCAAGTGGAGCGGCCAGCGGTCAGTGGGGCGTGGACGTCTAGGGCTGTTTAGGTATTGAGGTGAGGACCCTGGTCCCCGAGTCCTGATACCCTGTCTGCCCCGAGAGCCCACCCAAGTTCTGTCCGCTCCAGGAGGCCCAGGCACCGTGGCCGGTTACCTCCAGTTGGAGGCACCATGGCTTGGCTGGAGGTCGTGCCGTCCGGCCCACGGCCGGAGCTGTGACCCCGCGCCAGCTCTGTGGCTATGTGGAGGGGCGCGAGAGGCCGGCGGCAAGGCGAACTTCCTCCTGCTGTTGGCGGGGGTGCCCGGCGGGCCGGGTGGGGTGCGAGGCCCCATCCCCCCCCAGTCCCACCCCCCTCCGCGACCAACGGAAGTGGGGCTTGGGTGTGAGGTTGATGGTTCCTGGTCCTATCGAAAGGGGGTCCCAGGCAGTCGGTCTTGCCGTGAGCCCTGGAGCCCTCTTTACAGCCGTGGCCAGAGGTGGTTCGCCTTGGCCTCCGTCCTCAGGAAAATGGAAAGTGAGGACGTGGTCTGAGGGGCTTCCGCTTTTGTCAGCGGACAAAGGGGCTTAGAGCTGGTAGGCGTGAGGGTACAGATGTGAGGGCGGCTGACACATAACCAAGAGTGCCTCCAGGGATCTCCCCCCACCCTGCAAGTCTAGGAGGTTCTGGCTGAAGCGTGGGGCTTGGAGGGTGCCAGAGAGAGGATGGCCTTTTGGTCTGAAGTGGACCCAATTCTGCGGGGGTGGGGAGGAGACATGGACGCTAATGGGAGTTCATGGTGATGACTCTGAGTGGTAATGAGGGCACCTCTCCCCCAAAGATGGGCTAACCAGAGCCCTACCCCTGCTTGCAGCTCTGTGTCGCAACGCCAGGCATGGCCCAGCTTCCCTTCTCGATTCAGGGAGGTGAGGACCTTGATGTTGGCTTTGTTGCCTTAGCTCAGTAGTGAGGCGTCGGAAGTCCTGACCAGGTCAAGGTCAGAACTCTGGGAAAGGACAGTGCTAATGACTGAATGGAGAACTGGGGGACCCCATGGAGTGCCACCCCTGTTCTCAGTCCTTGCAGGGCTGCAAACAGCCTTGGCAGGATATGGCCTACCCTGAACTTGAAGCTTTGAGATCGCATTGAGCAAGGACGCATGTGGAGGGTATTGTAGTCTCCACCCCGATGTGGACGGGATCCTGAGAGAGGAAATAGGGACAAGCAACCCCCAGTGAAGAGTGTTACACCACCCTGAATCACTGGGAAGCCCAGGGCAGAGCTGACAGATCCAGGTGCCCAGCTCATAGGATTTGGGTGGGTGAGGAACTTTGTTTGAGGACTGGCTGCCCCCAGTGAGCAGAGAGGAGCCCCAGCCCTGTTAGGGGTGAGAGGGAACATCTCCGCTAAGGAATGAGGGAAACAGCCAGCCAGAAGAGAGCAGGCTGTGTAAAGTCGCACCTCCATTGAGCTGTTGTCAGCCCTGAAAGCCCAGTTAGGATGAGGTGATGCCTCAGTTTTGGGCATGACGGGAGTGAGGGGCCTGTTTTTCAGAGGAACAGAGAGGGAGGGCCTCTTTCAGAAGGAAGAGGTCTGGGCAGACACCAACAGGCTGCAGCCAAAGGCAAATTCCTAGTTCGTCCTCGAAGTCCTGGGGGCAGGCTGAGCAAGTGAGCCAGAGCCCAGCTGGCCCTCAGCAGCGCGAGGACACCACAGAGGGGCCTCCCCCAGCTCCAGGGATGGCACCTCCCTGCTGAAGGGGCTCACGTTTCCTCTTCCTCCTCCTACAGGTGCCCACAGCCATGCCTCGCGGCCAGAAGAGTAAGCAGCGCGCCCGTGAGAAGCGCCGCCAGGCTAGGAGCGAACACCAAGGTGTCCCGGAGGCTCAGGCCATTGAAGCTATGGAAGAAGAGTTCCCCTCTTCTTCCTTGCCTGTTTCTGGGGACCCTGGCCCCAGTCCCACTGCTGCGGGCGCTCACCAGGAGTCACTGAAAGCCCTGTCTCCCAGTCCTGCTGCCGCATCAAGCTCCTCCTCGAGTTCCGATGAGGACGAGTGCCTGGGGGCCTCAGCTGCCTCCCCCTGCTCCCTCAAAGATCCTCTGACAAGGAAGGCGGGCATCTTGGTGCAGTATCTGCTGCGGAAGTACAAGGTGAAGGAGCCCATCACCCAGGAGGAGATGCTGAAAGTGATCAAGAAGAAGTACAAGGAGCACTTCCCTGAGATCCTGCGGAGAACCTGCGCCCGCCTGGAGCTGGTCTTTGGCATCGACCTGAAGGAGGGCGACCCCGCTGGTCACACCTATGTGCTCATCAGCAAGATGGCGCTTCCCCACAGGGAGGATGCGGATAGCGCCGACCTGGGCCTGCCCAAGAATGGGCTTCTGCTGCCCCTCCTGGGCATGATCTTCATGAGTGGCGACCGCATCACGGAGGAAGAGCTGTGGAAGTTCCTGAATGTCTTGGGGATCTATGAAGGGAGGCGGCACTTCATCTTTGGGGAGCCTAGAAAGCTCATCACCCAAGATTTGGTGCAAGAGCAGTACCTAGAATACCGCCAGGTGCCCGGCAGCAACCCCCCACGTTATGAGTTCCTGTGGGGCCCGAGAGCCTACGCTGAAACCAGCAAAATGAAAGTCCTGGAGTTTTTGGCCAAAGTCAGTAATACGGTTCCCACTTCCTTCCAGTCCCGCTATGAGGCAGCTCTGAGAGATGAGGAGGCACGAGCCCAGGCAGGAGCAGGCTCTGCTCCGGCCACCACCAGCGCCCAGGCCAATGTTGGCAACTCCACTGAGGCCCAGCCCGAGAGAAGCCCAAGGCGGAGCCCTCACCTTGAGGTTGAGAAGGGCTCTCCACCTTCTAAGTAGTGGGGCCACGGGGCTGAGAGCACGCAATACATAGCTCCCGTGCATTGCCCGTAGTTACAGGTAGCTTAGTCGCCTAGTCTTTCCACATTGTTCACGTGCTCCTTTTCAGGTTTATTCAATTCTTCATTGTGTATCACATGGCTAACATGTTTGTTGCTGTTTATCAAGTTTGCGATACTAGTTTTGCAATTTACCAAACGGAAAATTCTCCTATCTTTTAGTGTGTTCCAGTGCAAGAAAATGTGCATTGAGATAGATAGAGGTATTCTTTTAAACGTGGAAAAACGTTTAAAAGTTGAGATGGAGATGGTGTCAAAGTGGTGAATTTTTTACTTTCCTTATTCTGTCTTTCTCAAAATAAAATTAAAGGAGATACTATCTGGATTTGCTTGTCTTATTCAAGAATGTGAAAGAAATTAAATCATAAATAGAACTCTCATTCACTATATTACTCTGCAAACATCAGTTGAGCATCTGCTCTTGGGAAGGCTTTGTGGGGAGCTGTACACAAGATCCAGTCACTGCCAACACGGTGTTAGAGCCCCAGGGAAGCTGTCGTATGAGAAACCGTGCAATATGCTTCAATGCAGGATGGTAGAGGGAGGCATGAGGGGCACAGAGATTCCAGAGCTCTGTGCAGATGCCCTGTGACCGGCAGCGGGGAGATTGCTAGTCCCTCTGCCGAGAAGGGTAAGTGGACTGCGCTGAGGCTAGAGGGGCTTTGACGGGAGATGGGACCAGTCCTCAGAGGATGGGCCTCAGAGAGCAGAAGCTGCCTGGGGCAGGGTACCCAGCTAGGACCCCTTCAGTCTGGCCTAGGGAGTTGGCAGGGTGGGGACTAGGGCCTTGGGGAAGGGCTATGAGTTCTCACCCAAACTTGTCCACTGAAGACCTCTGAATACTAGTGAGGGAAAATTGCCCCAAATCAGAGGTCTTCCCAGAACTTTCAGCCTTGGGAGGCCTGAGACAGAGCAGCCAGATATGACAGCTGAGTCAGCCCAAGTATTCTGGGCAGCGGGGACCTGGAGGGAAGCTAATGGTGCCAGTGGCTTTGACACAGGTCAGTGGAGCCCAAACAGCCCTGCCCTTGGGTCCGGTGCAGCCTTGGCTGACAGACATGCCCCGCCTTTGACCTTGGGGCTCCTGGATGGTGAGGACCTTGGTCTAAAGAGCACAGGCAGGCTTGGGGAAGTAGAAGGTGAAATTGCAGGGCTGGTCAGGTGCCTGGGTGGACACCCCAAGTGTGCCCTAGGAGATCAGTCTACTGTTCACCAAGGGAACTCATCAGGCCAAGAGAGTGGGCAGAGCAGCAGCCATGTACCTGCGACTCCCAGGGAGGGGACGACCTCTGGTGAATGGGTGGACACAGTGCTGCTGAGAGAGGAGACCCGGGTCCTAAGTGGGGTTCAGGTGAGGAACCCAGGTCCTAACTAGGGACCTCTCCAAAAGGCGGGGTAGTCATCAGACCCCCATTCCTGTTGTCAATACTGGGAGCCCTAGACAAGGTACCCACATATGGAATGTCCCAAGCCCCCTGATGGGAGGCAAGAGGAGGTCCTTGTTTGAAGGCTGATGAATGCTACCCAGAAGAGGAATTCCTGAGGAAGCCACCACAGAAAAGGCCCCCCCTGAGTTGTCAGCCTGACGGGTGGGGGCCCTGAGGGGTCCCTTTTCTTCCTCTTAGGGGATCTGTAGTTGGTAAGGACCAGGTTCAGCACCGTACAGGGATCGTACAGGGATAGGGCGTAGGCCCCCCACAGCGCCCCATCACTGACTCTCCTGCTGCCTTCCTGATTGCTGGTCCTAATCATAGCCATCAGCTCCAGAGATCAGACATGTCAGCTCCACACCTGCAAGAAGGTTGCCACGCCATGGTGAGGACAGGAGCTTGTGAGCCACCCCAGGAAGAAGAGCCCCCTGCTCCTCACCTTCTGGACATACTCCCCAGAGCAGGGATGACATCAAGTCACAAAGCCCGTTCCACGTATTTATGTGGCTTTATAGTGAGCCCTGCTATGGGGGGTGAGGGAAGGGGTAAATCCCTTCCTCCAAGTTTCTATTCTCTTCTTGGCTTTTCATATTCTACCACATAAAATCTAGGATCGGCTGGCCAATTTCCGAAGATGTTGGAATTTTGATTGCTACAAAGTAAACTATAGATAAATTTGAGAAGACTTTATACTTTGATAATATTGTGTCTTCCAATCGTGAAATGTGGTATAACTCTAATGAGTTAAATCCAATCATTTGCACTAAAGTTTTACCATTTACTCCACATTGTTTGTTAGGTTTGACTTGAGGTGCATATATTCTTGAAGCTATTTGATGTGAGCATCCCATTCCCTTCCATTTTTAAAAAAGATTTATTTATTTATGCATACAAAACTGGGGCACAAGCCAGAGGTGTGGGGTGTGAGAGGATTCACCAGAGACAGAGTGGGGAGGGGAATAGGCAGAATAACGAAGTACACTGCTGAGGGGAGCAGTGGGCAGTCAGGAGAGGTGTGCTGCACCCTATGAATCACCTCCCTGGCTAGGGAACGAACTTGCACTGCAGTGGCTGCAGTAGCTTCAAGTGCTACACTTTACTGTTGAGACACCAGGGAGGGCCTCCCTTCCATTTTTAATGGATAAAAAGGAATTTGTATACAATGTAGATATAAGTAAGTAATCTTATTATAATACACTCTCATGCTAACTTTCATTTATATGCATGTGGTTTAGGCTTTTGTATAAACATAATCACATCCCTAAGAATGATAGTTTCTTCCGTTCCAGTTCCATTTCGTCTCCTTGCCCTACCGCAGCACCAACCAGGACATCACTGCTGTGATGTTCCATTCCACAGTGTCGAATGGAAGTGATGTGTGACTCCTAGCCTTGAACCTGAACCCAGACAGGGAGAATGTCTCCATAGATTATATTTGCAGGAGCTTTTTGTATCAGTTTGAAAGAGATAAAAATCGATGTCATATGGCCATTTTTACTTACAAAAAACAGAGATTTCATTTATTTTAACCTAATGACTGCCCTTATCAAGTTAAGCTAGTTCCTTCCTATTCTGTTTTCCAAAGGTTGGAGAGTACTTTTTTTATTTTACAAAAGATGCCAATTTGTTTCAAATGTTTTATATGCTTCTACTGAGTTAACATATGGTATGGTAATGTTCCCTTGTTTATTGATTTCTAAACACTAAAACAGCCTGGTGTTACTGGATTAGAGTCAGCATTTCTTCTTTAATATTTTGTATTTATGTTCTAGACTGAACATATCCCATGGACATGAACTACAAATTCATATTGAATTAATATGAATTATATCCTGTCATCTAACGTTATTATATATTCAGATATTACCTTGCCTGTTTGTTCTGTCTTTGCCATCTTTAATTCTGAGTAGGTGTATATTAGCCTGTGCTGTTCTCCATGTCTTTTAACCCCTCTTTTTTATCTCCCTAGTTTTCTTTCTGGTTAATTTCTTCAGGTAAATTTTCCAATTCATGAGTCTTTTCTCCAACTGGGTCTAATTTCCTTTGAGTCATATTATCTACCTCAAATATGCTTGCCAATTTTTCAAAATCTTGCCTGTGCACATGTTTTTAAAGTTATCTGTTATTTCTGTAAGTGTAGTAATCATTAACTATTTTATTTTCTGTGACTAATATGTGGAATCTACATTAATCTGCCCCTTCTTGATCTTACATGTTCTGTAATTCTCATTCATGGTTTGTTTTTTTTTTCATTTCCCTTGCATTTTTTTCTCATAATTATTTTTTCCTATTGCTTGTATTCCTCACAATTTTATCTACTGTTATTCTTGGACTTTTGTAACAGAGTTCCTTGTAGAGAGAATTGGCATTTGCCCCAGTCTATCCAACGTGGGCACCAACCACAGTTACTGATCTTCTCTAAAACCCCTGGATTATTGATTCAGATTTTGTTGAGCACCCAAGAAATATGAATTTGTGCCTGCCCAAGCTCTAAAGAGAAAGCTTGGGATTGCCTGTTCCAGGAGTCTTTTTCCTCTCTTCTCAGTGCAAAGAGGCTGACAATGTCGTTCATTAATGGCCCGACTCTAGCCTTTCAGCTCGCAGTGTTATGACAAAGGCTTTTGCTTAGGCTCTTCCTCTTAGGCAGGCCCTTGATTTCTTCTGAACCCATGCCACATAACAGTGTGACACTGAAATTCAAGTTCACTTCGGTGTGGACAGCATTCTCAATGCCTAAGCCTGCCCTACTTACCTCTCTGGGTTTCCATCTTTATTTAGCCTATTACCTACATATTCCTTCTTTTAAAATCAGGTATCAGATCTTTTCATAATTTTTTAATCAAGTATTTTCAATTTTTTTTCAGCAAAGGGTCCATCTTGTTTGCCTTACCTACTACTGGAAATCCAAGCTCAAAGGGGTTAATTTTGAATAATTACTTTGCAATTGGTTATTTTCTATGGAGACACCTACCAACCAATGAATATAATCAGCAACCCTTAGGCTCAAATTTACTCATTTTGCTAAAATAGAGAAACAGAAATCTTATGTATTTTAGAATTTAACAAAGATGGCATCCTATTCCACCCTGGCCCATCTCATATGACAATAGAAAGATTACAGCACTGATTTGGCCTGGGGACCCCCATGCAGCTCCTACTGCCTCTTTATTTTCTTCCCCAAGCAACCTTAAGTCGTATTCAGATAGTGCCCACGGGAGCTTTAGGCCTCCATTTGTGAGATGTCTTCTCCCCCCAACCCATGTTCAAGCGTGTCTGAATCAGAATGTCAATGGTTCTCCACCGGAGGGTGATTTTGTTCCCTGGGACAAATCTGGTAGTGGTGTCTACAACAAATTACCCAGCCCCAAATGTCTTTAGTGGCTGGGCTGAGACACGCTGGGAATGGTGAACACAGAGTGCTTTGTTCATAGAGGATGATTTCCTCTGAGTGTCATGGCAGAAAGTATGGGCACATTGCCAGCCAAATGCGATGCTATTATCTCATGAGAGG